ATATTTAGGTGACTAACATTGCCAGGTTTAGTCAAACTTTTCTGATTTTCAACAAAATCAAAAACCTTTAACATCTAAATTTCAATTTAAATATTAAAGACATGTTTTCCTTATTGAGACAATATTAGATCCTGATAAAAATAATTAGTTTTTTGTATTTATGAAGTTATCAGAAGAAGACCCTTAATCAGTTTTTCACGGCCCCTAACATTGGGGGAAAGCATAATTTAATTTAAAAAATACAATACAGTAATCATTTATCTTCTATTTGTGAATAAGTTAACTATTCATCTTTAATGTGAAAGTTTTAATGTAAAAAATGAATTGTATGATTTATAATAGCTGTAGTATTTCCTAAAGGTTATTATTTGGGTCCCGTGGAGCCGACCCGCACCTGGACTCGAACCTCCGGCAGGTTGACCTTCAGGGCCAGCTCCTCGCGGCTGTACACATCCGGGTAGTGGGACTTCTCGAAGGCCCGCTCCAGCTCGTGCAGCTGGAAGGTGGTGAAGGTGGTCCGGTTCCGGCGGTGCTTCTTCTTCTGGTTCTCGTCGTCGGACAGCTTGCCGTCCCGGTCCGGTGAGTCCGGGTCGGCTGAGGCTTCCCCGGTGCTGCTGCCGCAACAAACACCTGCAGGAGCGGGAGGACAGGAGACTGAAGGGAACCTGCAGGTTTCACACTGAAACGTCACTATGTTCCTCCAACACTGGACACTTAAAACGTCATGTTTATAGTCTATTTAATTTATTAATAAGTAAAGTTGAACTTACTGTCACAGCTGTCTGAATAGTGAGCTTTCTTCCGGTGAGGGACACCTTCAGGCCCGTCTTGGAGCGGGGACGGTTCCGTCCCGGAGCAGGAGGCGGTTTTGTGGAAGACCGCGTCCTCTTTAAAGCCCAGGATGGCCTCGATGCTGTGGACCCTGGACGGGTTGGTTCCGGGACTCTGCGCGGAGCGAGAGGCGGGAGACTCATCCATCATCATCATCATCATCTTCACTTGGGACGCTGAGCCAAGGAGCCACATTGGTTAGTGGGGTGGGTGCAGACTAATTCCTGGAAAACTATTCACCTTGTTTGGTCCTGACTGTGTCCTGGTGATTGGTTATGGCAAATCCTTGGTGTCAGTCTTTAAATAGTTTGTCCCCCCTCCTCTCGTCCTCAGGCTAACCCCCCCTGTCCACGTCAGAGAGAGGGACGTCCTGTTGAAGGGTGGACCCCCTCCCCTCCCATCCCACCAACCCTCCATCATCCCCCCATCCCAAGTGCATCAGTCAGAGCTGACTCTAAACCCACTTACATAAATCTTAAAACCATCTTTCGACTTCTCCAAACGTCATTTTCATGTCAGCGTGTGGAGAAAAGGAGGGGGATTAAGCCCCCTGGGATTAAGGTACAACAAAATCATAATTACAAGATTTCTGCTGCAAGATGAAAGCTTAATATTTAATCAAATCGTCAAGATATTGTTGCCAAGACTGACTGGACTTTATCAAACTATTTTTTGTTATATATAAAAGTATAAAACTCCTGATAAACCTGCACGACTTGTAGCACTATTTAGAAGCCGCATATTTTGGTGAAGCCAGAGAAATGTCTTTTTTCTTTAAACCAGAGGGAAAGCGTTTGTGTGTCAGGCAGGTTGAGCACAAACAATAACAATTTGAGACTACAGCCACTTAACAACAAAGGCTTGACCGCGGTGTGGTAATCCTGCTTAAGGAGATTACATTATTTTACTCAAAAGAGCTAAAAACCCCCTAAAACTATTTAGCTTTTCCCCAATTAAACAAGTTGACCCCTTGTTAGCTCAACAAACACACACACAAAGAAAAAGTGGCTCAAGCAACACAGGAGAAACAGACAGTGGAAATGCTTTTAAAATGATTGTGTGTTTTTGTCTGATGGCCCACAGACAGAACCAGATCATAAAACCCATGTACTCACTATCTGGCAAGGTGCATGCCCTTACATTCATTAAGTAAGTCCGTAAGTAAGTCAGTAAGTAAGTAAGTAAGTAAGTAAGTAAGTAAGTAAGTAAGTAAGTAAGTGAGTA